TCCTGCCTGCTCGCTCTGCCTTAATTTCCTGTGACTTTCTCTAGCTTCGTTCGTCACAGCTGCTGCAGATCGAGCATGTCATATGTCCAGGTTTCTCGGCTAGCTATAGACTTAATTTGGCTAGCTGCACAAAATCGGCACGCAAACAACACGCGACCATCGATCCATTCAGGCCACACGGGAAGCTGCCTGCCTGGCCTGGATCGAGATATAATCAGCAGCAAGCATGCAGCGTATGCATGCACGAACAGATCAGTAGGTATTGTTAGCTTACTCAGCATTGATCAGGTGCTCCGAGACATATGCATGCACCTGCTGATCATGATTAGCTGGGATCGATCTAATTAATCGGAATTCGGAACTATGGTCATGATCTGATGATCAAGCAGTAAACAAATTGCAAGCCGGCAAAGCATATGCACACACACAAACTCGTAGGATGCATGCATCCAGCGGCCACAACTTGGCCAACTTGCATTAATTCGCGCGGCCTATCCAGAGATCGAGCCCCTTGTGTATGACTGCCCGGTGGGACACCGCCGGCGGCGGCGGCTGCTACCGCCACGTATGACTGGCCGGAGTACATACCAGCAACAACACACGTGGCTAGCTAAACCTACATGTGTGTAGTATACTATCATAAATCTTATCTTTACATGGAACGATTGAACAATTGATGTTGACCGGCCGATGACTACTCCCTCTGGTTTATATTATAACTCATTTAACTTTTCTTTTAATCAAATTTCTTGATCAAAGTTTATAGAAAGATATAGTGGTATTTTCCACACAAAACAAATATATTATGAAAAATATTCAATATTAGATTTAATAAAACTAATTTGATACTTTAAATATTATTAATATTTTAAAAAAAATTAAGTTTGACTCGAAAAAATTATAATATGAAGCAGTAGATAGAATATATAAAATGAGACAGGAGGACAAGCTGGAAGAGAGACGAGGAGACGACAGCATGCGTGCGTGTATGGGCGTGGGTGGATGGGGCGGTCGCCGGCGCCACCGGTCGTAATCAGCCGCCACTGGGGCCGGCCTAACCGATGATCGATGAGGACACGGCGGGTCGCTGTTGCTGCTGACTCTGCATGTGGTCCCCCACCTGCAGCCTGCGCTCGGTTCATTTTAATTATACTCATTTTTATTTATTTATTTATTTTGTTTGAGGTTGTTAGTTTGGTAATTGATGGGCCACATTTATCTCTCTGGAAACCTGGACGTGTATGGGCTGAGCAATTTACATTTATTATGTGGGCCTTCTACATGGAGGCTGCCGTCCTACCGGGAGTGAGGGCCCAAGCTCTCTCACAGACTGATTTGATTGGGCCCCGGGAAGGCTGCCGAATGGGCCTTCAGTCGCTTGGGCTGGGGGCTATGGGCCCGTCTAAGTTTACAGTTGGGGCAATTTTCTCGCGGTGGCTAATTCGCGCTTGCTGGCGCGCGCGCCATGTCATCCCCGTGTCTTCATGCTGATTTTTAAATCTCGAGTTGAAAGTTTTCAAATATAAGTTAAAAGTTTTTAAATTTGAGTTAAAAGTTTTCAAATCTGAGGTGAAAAGTTGAACGTTTTTAAAATTTGACTTGAAAAATTCAAATTTTGAGTTAAAATTTTTCAAATTTGGATTTAAAATTTTAAAAATTTAACTTCGAATATATATTTATTTTCAATTTGTTAGTTAAAAAAATCTCGTGAAAAAAGAAAATCTTATATATTATGATAATTATCTTAAACAATCATTATCTAACACTAATATACTACTAGTAATTATCTTATCCAACAAATTAAGCGCCAGCGGCGCGCGCCGGCGCACTAGGCACCCCACAATTTTCTAGTTGCTGCTAATCTCTTGAGGATTAGAACAAAAGTAATGCATACGAAGAATATTTTTCAGATATCATATGTATTTTAAGATTACAACTTCATAAACATTTCTAATTTTCAAAAGCAGACATTTTAATATGGCCACATGTTCGATCTACACAGACAGTCGGCCGTCTGAATACGAAGACCTAATTTTCACAGGTCTTTAATGACAGGTGGAGAGCCGAGCCGCTTACGTAGATCCATTTTGACTGCACGTGAAAATGCTTTCCATAGATCCATTTTGACTGCACGTGAAAATGCTTTCCGTGATATTGTGTTGGACTTACTATATAAACTATATAAAATTTTAATGATTGTTAAGAGAAATATACTGTCAAACCTGCATAAAAAATGCATAAGATGCTATGAATTTCACTAGAAGATTGCATATTGCATATTGGATTACTTTTTATCATCATAGTTCACTTTAGACCATTTTTCCTTTCGCACATTACAGAATACTCTCCATGTTCCTTCTCTTACACCCTCCTTTATTCGTATCTGCTACTCTGGGTCTAGGTATGAGTTAATTAACATGAACGAAGTACAAGCACAGGGTGTACTAGGACAACGCTTGATTGTAGAATCCTCGTTGTAGTTGTGAACCCGAGCTCCACCCCACCTACTGCACTAGGTCTAGGTACTTTGCTTCCACACCACTTAAGCTCCGTCCACCGTCAGGGTTATGGATACCACATATCCAATAGTAGTTGATTTAATCTCGGTAGGACCCACCACATACCATGTCTTATACGGGAACAATCTTCGGATATAGGAGGAGTTCTGCATAAGGAAGGATGAATAGAGTTCTACATGGAAACGACAATGACTACTCGGATTGTATCCATATTGGTTTCCCTAGTTCTACTTGGACAAAGGGGCACCTATAGGTATAAATACAAGGCCCCTAGGAGGAGAGGGGGGACGGAACAATAGATCAAGATAGAAAGATCAACATACAAGCCAACATACGCTAAGACAAGCCGCCAGATATCGACATCAGAGATATGCCTGGATCAACCCTATCCGGTACCTACAGAGGCCGGCCGTAGGGATCTAGCGCTGTCTTTGATCTCGCTGGGCACGAACTCGAGGAGGAAGACTACCCTGTTGTCGACTACGAGTCAGAACTTCAGACCGCCATGTCGACAACAGTTAGATAGGCTACCCCAAATATTGTACTGGTGTGATTATGGTGAATAAGAGCAATACCGGCTTCGGCCAACTGGATATAGGGTTATTACCTGACAATTCAGGGGCCCGAACCTGTATAAAAATCCTCGTCCCCATCTTTTTTACCTAAGTCTCGCATATATCCTAGTACCAACAATCCCCATACTATGCAAATATCGGAATCGCGACATCAAACGTCGACACGTCAACAATGATCTCCTCCAAAGGTAGCCATGTGTAGCTCGAGTTCCGCCTCCGCCCAATGGCTAGTGCAACTAACCTTGTTCTTTGATTTGCTGGTGGCGGCTTCCACTCGAGGTCAATATTGCCCTCCACCAGTAGCTTCAGTTTTTTTAAGCTCCACCTCCATTTCACCATTTGGCATTGATCCAAAGCTAAAGATCCATGCTTGCTCAACTCAAGCAATCAAACTCTGCCTCCACCTTTTCCTGTGCTAGCCCCAACTCGATATTGAGGACATTGAGATTGTTCCTCTAGGCCTTCACAGATCGATATTAGTTTCGTGCAACTCAAGCTCTATCTTTGCATGGTATAAACTGTGCTTTGCTAGTGTCAGGCCTATACCACTGAATTTTACTTTCATCACATTCATATTGTAGTCGAGTTTGTTGGTTATATATGCAGACGAGCAACATGCAAGGAGAGATGGAGATGAGAGGTACGCTTTGAGCCACTCATCCGAAACAACTAATCTAGGGTAAAAATTTCTTACCTAGTCTAAAGTAAAAGGATATGCTAATACCTAGAACTATCAGGTAAGAAAATATGATCCTAAACATGATTCACTTAAAAAAATAGTAGAGTATTGATACTTTTGGTGCTTATTTGGAACACAGGATTTTGAAAATACAGAGAGAGAGAGAGTATAGATATGGCAAGCAGGGTAGTACAGATCCCCTGCAGCTGGCCTCAACTCCACCATATAGATTTCAGTTAATCGTAGCCATTGTTTCTAGTGAATAGATTGGAATAAGCAACATCTTTCCTTTGCCTTCTTTCTCGGCGGCAACCATTGCGGCCTCAGTGGAGAACTAATGTTGATGTTGCCAGCCTACTACTATCAAAGAATATGAAAACACATACGATAGCTATGCGCTCATGCCTAGGGGCGGACCCTGGCCCGTGGCACCCTAGGCCATGGGCTAGGGCTTGGTGTCAAAACCCCATGGACCACAACAAATTTCCACCATATATGAGCTAGCTTACTGTGAGAGCACTAAAGGGCACCGCGGGCCTTAGCTGTGGGCTAGGTCCACCCTTTCCCATGCCCAAAGAAGAAGTAGCCAATTGAGCTATGATGTGCACTGATGATGAATTGTTTCGTTCTCCGAAGCCTCAATTGATGTGCATCTATCACTGATTTACATGAAGCATTGTTAACCCTTATGGGCATGTTTTGGCTTTAGATTCAGCACCATGTGCCACCTCCCACTTGGTATGCTCCATGCTCGTCTGCCTCTAGCAGTCTCATCATGCCGCCACTCAGAAGTCGAAACGCTCCAGTTCGGAGTTAGATAATCATGTCAAGGAGGTTTTGGATGTCTAGATAATAAAAAAACATTTGAGGAAGAAAATGAATAACATCCGTACAAAATAAAGGACGGTTAGGATTATCCTAAATCCACCCAGTGGAGTTGATCCCCAACTCTAGGGGATCCACACCCGAGCAAGAGAGAGTGTGCATTAGGCTTAACTAAAACATATAAAACAAGAGGTTTGTGCTCATGTTAGAATTCCTATAAAATAGGGGGTGTGGAAAAGCAATCCTTACAAATCTTCCAGTCCCATTCCTTGGTTCCAAAGGTCGAAATTTTTTTCCAATGATTCTAATTTTTTCCAATGTTTCTCCTTTGTCCCAAAGGAGCCCTCACAAAAATTCGGCCATTTTCGCTTTGTCAACAGTTCAACACCCACTGGCCACGGGCACACAACCCAAGCCCAGAATAGTTGGCGCGCGCTGATTGGGCGGCGGATGAGGCGCGTGTGAGCCACGCCGCGCCACCCAGCCCCTCAGCCTGCGCGCCGCCTCCCTCCGCCGCTCGCCGCCGCTCTTTAAACCCCCCCTCCCCCTTCCCTCGCGCTCACCATCCATGGCGCCCACGGCGCCCTCTCCGGCGTCCGTGCGCGCCGCGGCGTCGCCCCGCTGCTGCTCCCGCTCCCGCCCCTGGTCCAGCGCCGGCCGAGTCGCCGCCCTCCCGGCGGACGGCCGCGGCGACGGCGCCTCCACCGCCGCCTCCTACAAGGAGCTCGGTGAGTCCCCGCGGCTCCCTCTTTGGGTCAGCCCTCTGCTATTGTGTTAGGTTGTGGAAATTGTTTCTGAGAGCGTGGCTTATTTCAGTGGCAATGTTACTAATATGGCCGTGGACATACCTGTTCTTGTTATCTTGTATTGAGTAAGAACTGTCCTGAATGTTCATAGTTCAAGTTCAATCAAATGCAAAATCTGAATGCAACGAAAATACAAGCTACTAGTACTTTGATTATGTTGCTTCATGCGGATAAATCCTGTGGAAATCATGCTAAAGTGTTAAAAGAGAAGGGAATTTTTCAGGCCAAACATAGTGACAGCACTAGAGAATAACTTGAGCAGAAGTCATTAAAATTGAAACCGCAGAATTTTCAGACTTATTACAGTTACTTGTTGATTGTACCAAGGTTTGTACTCTTTGAAAAAGAGGATCGAAGATGCCGTTGTCCGGGTCGAAACGACTGCATCCAGTGCACTGGAGATGGAGGAAGCGCGGAGAATCAGACAGGAAGAGGTGTTGAGGGGGCGCAACTTGTGGGACAATCCAGCTAAATCGCACGAGACACTCTCTGCTCTGGCTGATGCCATCAGAGTGGTCGACCATCTCAAAGACCTTCGCTATAAGGTGATTGCTTAATTCCTTGTTGCAAGATGTGCTTCAGAAAATTTCCCTACATTTGGACAAAGTAAAGCTTCCTATACTGTTGTGTGAATGGACAATGCTTGATAGCAGGACTGAACTGTGTGCATTGTCTGCCCTTCACTCAGCTCTAACCACCTCAAAAATTCCACCCCTTTATCCTTCTTTTTTCACTACAGAAATTGTGATTTAGAATTTAGCATTTTTCTCCTTTTGATGCTTAAGATATGCGGTGCAGGCTGAAGAGGCTAAGCTGATTAGTCAACTCTCAGAGATGGATGTCATCAATGTTGAGTTGTTTAAGCAGGCATACAAGACCTCCGTAGATGCTACTGAGTTTCTAGATCGTTATCAGATGTACAAGCTTCTTAAGGGTCCGTACGACAAGGAAGGCGCTTGCATCATCGTCACTGCTGGATCAGATGGTGCTGCTTCTGAGGCAAGTTGATTATAGAATGTTGGTTAATGGAATTATTCATTGGATCTTAATGAGAGAAGAATAAAAGAACGCCAACATTGTACTAACAAAGTAATAATAACACTACCTTTGTACTTTCCATAATGTTACTGCTCAGTTCGTTCCATGAATCTGTGTTATTATTGAAATGCTGCTCATTAAATTAAGGAATACATATGCCTAAGAATCGTGTGAATGAAGATATAAAATGCTCAATTGCTCATGGAGGGTCACTATAAATATTCCTTCCAAATCTAAATTCTTAGCTATTACTTTATCAGCACTGTGGTGCAGTTTTATAGAAGTTGATGTTTACCTGAATTCTTTCTTGAGCAAAATTAACCATTTCCACCTTTTGAGTTTTTTATAAACAAGATTTTTTTTACCATTGCAGCTATGGGCAGAGAGGATCTTTTGCATGTATTCAAGTTGGGCACGGAAACAAGGTTGTAAGGATGGGCTGGTTGAGAAGATCACATCAACAAGTGGTCGTGTATGGACTGCAGCCATAGAAATTGAATCAGAGTACATGTTTGGCACCCTTACTGGAGAAAAAGGAACTCACAGAATGATCTATCCTTCTGTCGATAATGCTGGCACTTATGAGGTGATTACATTTTTCTATTGTTAATATTTAGTTCCTATCATAATTTTGTTCTACCCATTAGTGATGAGATTAGAATTCCTTGCAATTCCCTAATACATTTGCATAGAGAACCATGAGATGTTCTGCAAGGTAGTTCAAGCAATTGGTTAGACAGGTAATATCAAATAAAGAAAACCTGGACTCCAATATTTAAAATTGTTACTTCACTAGAACTGACTGATATGTATGTACCAACCAAGGCAAACATATAGAACCGCATCAGCAAAATACTGAACAAAAGTCGAACTACGTAGCCTTCCATTAGGATACAACGGAGAAAGTAATAGCACATACTTAGGTTTAAGTTTCAGCTTGTCATGTTTAATATGCAAATTTCTAAAAATAGTTCAGAATTTATACATGGTTTTCAACTACTGTGACCCCTTTTCTTTAATCGGTCTGGCTGAAATATTGGCCATCCAAATTTTTTAAGCAAAGGGAGTAGAATAGTGGCAATGTCAACATGATTTGACTTCTGTGTTTAAAAAGACCTGGATAAACTGCTGTACAAGTTTTTGGATGCCCATATTGTGCACACAACTTTATCATGGCATTCACCGTATGCTGTTTTATATCAAAATGGCTAACCTAAAGTTGACCAAAGCTTGCAGGCAACGTCAGCTAGGGTCGATATAATTCCTCTCTTCTTAGACAGACCAGTTAATCTTCACTTGGACGAGAATGATCTGGAGATTTCTCCTTCCCCTAGTGATCATAAGAGGCGGGATCACAGAAATTCAGCCATTAGGGTTCAACACATTCGAACTGGAGTTACTGCTGAAAGTTCAGGTACTAAATTAACCAAATGTTTCATGCACTGTGAACTCTCATGCAGCTCTGACTCTTTATATCTCCACAGGTGAGCGAAGCTACTTCGCAAACAAGATGAAAGCTATAAGCAGGCTGAAAGCAAAGCTACTTGTTATATCCAGAGAGTTAAGATCGTCGAACCTGAAGACGATCAAGAGGCAGACGGTGGAGGAATTGTACAGCCGAGAGACAAGAAGGTACAAATTTGGGCCTCAGAAATTGGTTCATGATCTCAACACAGGCCTCCAGCTGTCAGAATTGAACTCTGTCCTGGACGGTGATATTGATCCTTTCATCAGAGGTCGCATTGTTTCAAGACTTGGATGACACACCAAGAGCACATCAGTTTCAATTCTGAATATTTCTTTTGTTTTTCTGGTACATACCACACCACATCAAAAGGATAACTTGTGTAACAAACAAACAATGGGGTCACATCCCCAAGCGAAAAAAGCTAATAATCCTGGTATATAAAAGAGCAATTCATGATTCATCATATATACCTGTCAAGCCTGTGTGCCGTGGCCCATGGCACGCACGGCGCGCCAGTGTGCGGCGAGCGTGTTTCCGTGCTTATCCTGCAGTTCTCCCTGAAGGTTCAGCATGACGCTAATCTAGCGCCATCCAATTTCTCACCTATCTTCCTCCGCCTTGCCAATAGGTTAATTGTTTTTGCTCTGATGCCATCTACAAGATCTACAATAGGATGATCCTTCAAATCCTTGATCCATTTGTTCCATGACTCTACCAGATTGTTGGTGATAAAGTCACATTTTATCTTTTCTAAGAACTTACTCCTCATCCAAAGTAGTTGTGGTAAGTTTCTAGATATAGCCTCACATCTGGATTTGTCTAGTGAATTATTCATGTAATGCTCATATTTGTCTGTTATGTAAGACGTAGCTGTAGGGTATATGTTCCCAAACACTAGACCATAAAATTTCTAGGTGAAATTCTATATCAAGTGCCAAAAGCATTCTCTATACTCTGTTGTACTAAATACATTTTTCACAGCTTTATCCAGCCCCTTACAAGTGTCTGAGCAGATTGCTAAGTGTGATTGTTCCCTAATTGCCTAATGAAGCTGTTGCATAAACCAAGTCCAATTGTAAGTGGTCTCGCTTTGAAAGAATACAAATGCAACTAGAAACATCCAATTATGTCCATCTATAGATGTAGCAGAAGCTAGTTGACCATTCCAACTCCCATTAAGGGCTGTGGAGTGTATACTCAAGTATGGTCGACATCCATTCGTGAAACCATCAATCGAAGGTTTGAGTGCACAATAGAATATATGAAAATAAACCCCATCAACAATCTCTTGTAATCTATCTCCACAACACTTTTTAGACATTTTCAGCTCAACCTTAGCCTTGAAGTTAAACAAATATGTACCAAAAATCTTATCTTTAGCCTTGCCATACTTCTATTCACAGTATGGTATCTTAAAGTGATATTGTACTTGGTTTCTAAGTCCCCATCAGCTGCTTTGCACCCATAGTTGGATCCTTCTTTAGAAAAGGAATTGTGTTATTTGCCACCCACTTATAACTTGCCATCTTTATCTTTACTCTCCCTGTTGATGCACGAGAATGGGCGAATTTTTTTATGGTATCCTGCAATACACACACACATAAGATGGTTACATCCATGAGACAACTCATATAGCCAAACCAATATTTGAAATATGAGATACTATTTATTTAGTTAGTTGTTAGTACCCTCACGGATCTTTCATCAGGCATCAACCTTGCCACGATAGCCCATGGGCATCTCTCAGCTGTGCAAAAGCCCCTAAACATTTCTTTATCAATCTTCTTTGTCCCAAGCTGAAATTACCCCTTAACAGCGTGTTGCCTCACAATTGACCTAAATTCAATCATACTATATAAGCTTCCAACTTCCATAGGAGGATCATCCTAGTTATAGAAAATTTCAGATTCACCAAGTATTACATCAATTAACAACAATCTCTGCCTTGTTAATGTTCAAGTTCCCTTCGGTATGAGCTGGACCTGGTGTAGGAACATAATCCCTTTGCCTCTCAACTTCAAGCCTAGTTTGTTTGGCTCTCTTGTCCTCAGCCCTAAGTCCAACAAATGTATACATTTCATCTTCCTCCATCAAAGGCATAGATCAACCAAGTTGTTGTGGAATGTTCTATCACTAATGCATCCCAATCAATAGCAAGCTGAGGAACTTGGTTATGTGGAATTGGAGCTATCTCTAGACTATCCCAATCAACATACAACTGCTAGATTCTTGAGCATCACTGTCACGCCCTGAAGTTCTTTCCCAAGCCTAAATTGAATTTATAATCCACCAGAGAAAATATCGGTGTAAAAGCAAGAGAAAACCCTAATAAATTAATACAAATAATAATCGGATTTGGCATGTGGAATTTTTCTTGAGTTCTACATGTCGAAATACGCTAACAAGATTTTTAGTGGAATTTTCAGAGCTCTAGAAATAATTTTAACCAATTAAAATTGAGCACAAGCAATATTTAATCCCAGGAAAATCTATTTTCCTTCTTTTTCCTTTTTCTTTTCTCTTTTTCTTCCAATTGGGCCGCCGGCCCATTCTCTCCTTTCCCCCCCTTCTTTCCGCTGGGCCGGCCGACAGGCCGAGGCCCAGCCGAGCCGGCCGCCTCCCTCCTCTCTCCCAGGGTCGCCGACAGGTGGGGCCCACCTGTCAGGCCCGTCCCCTTCCTCCAGCCGGCGCCGCCGCGCCCCGTATCCGCCGCCGCGCACACGTTCCCGCCTCCTCCGGCCACGTCGGCCACGCCCGCGCATACGCCGCGTCCTCCGCACCCACTCCCCCTCCCTCTCGCCCACGCCCGCGCCCGAGACGGCCGGGATTCGAAATTCGAATCCCGCCTCTCTCTCTCCTCCCCCACTCCCCACGTCGGCCGGCGATTCCCGCCTCTACCGGCCACGTCCGAGCTCCCCCTCCTCTATTTAAGCTCCACCGCCACCCCCTCTCTCTTTTTCCCCATCTCGCCGAGCCCACCCGTGCCCTCTAACGCCCTAGCGCCGTCGCCCTCCTCTTCGCCGCCGCCGCCACCGCTCCGGTCGTCGCTAGCCGCCGCTAGCCGCCGCGCCGAGCCGCGCCGATGACGCCGTCGCGTTCGCCGTCGTGCGGGCCACCCTGTCCACCCCTCTTCCGTTGGATCCCGCCGCCGGAACCCACTCTGCGCCGTTCGCCGGTGAGCACCGCCATGGCCGCCGCCTTCGACCGGCGTCCTCGCCCTCTTCCAATTCCCTCTCCCTCTCTAACCCCTTCCACCGTGTTCGCTAGGAGGTTCCGGAGATCGTCCCGCCGTCGCCGCCGCCCTCCATCGCTCGCTGTCGTCGGTCGTCGTTGGTGAGGTCTCCCCCCTCCCCTTCCTCTCTCTCTCTCTCCCGCGCCGCTAGCCGCTTGGCCGCCGCTTCGCCGCCCGCGTCGCCGCGATGCCGTCGCCCTCCGTCGCCGCCGGTCACCGTCTCGCGCCGCCGCCGCATGCGCGCCGCTAGCCGCCGCGCGCCATGGCCGCCGGGCCGGCTTGAGCCGTGCCCGCGCACGCCGGCCGCGAGCCACACCCGCCGTCCGATCTACCCTTGGGTAGGGTAGATCGGGGCCGTCGGTTCGGCCGCCGCGTGTGCGCCACGTCGGCGCCACGTGTGCACCACATGGTGCGCCGGTTTCCCCGGTCCGTGGACCCGGTCCGCCGTGGACCGCCCACCTCGGGTCACTGCCATGTGGGGCCCACATGTTGGCGCTGCCCCCTCTCTCTCCCTGGGATTTATTTATTGCGCAATAAATCAATTAAGGATTTTTCCGTTTATAGTAAAAACACAATGAATCTTCTAAAATTTATAACTAATTCATCCCAGCTCCGTTTAAGCCCATTCAAGTCTCAGTAAATCAAGAAAAATGTGTAGAATCCATTAAAAATGGTTTTGTTCTCTGTTTCAGTAGTCTTATAGCCTGTTTGTATTGTTTGCTTTGTTTGTCGCTTAGATTCCGGCTCTCCCGACGCTCCGGTGTACCTTGAAATAGTCGCCGAAGTTCCTCCAGCTGCAGAGCAAGGTAAGTCATGCTTGTCACTTGAACATGTTGATCCTATATTGCAAATGCTCCATTGTTTTCCTTCAAATATTGCATTGTTTTATAATATCACTATGGGATGTTTACCTACTGTCATAGCCATGCTATCTTGTACCATGTTCCTTTGTTAGCTTGGGATATAACATGACTAGAGATTGGACTAGGGAATGCTTAGTTTTGCTTAGTTCAACTAGCACACAATGGGGAACTACATTAATGCATAGATATCAGATTCTAGGATTGATGTCGGTTAATGCTCACTGCTCCGGTGTTGGTTAATTAATTAATATTAAATGGTGGGCCGTGGGTGCATGGTTTTGATGGTCGCGCCCAGAGCAATTAAGGACCGGTTCGCGGGAAACCCTGGAAGAATTCCTCGTACTTACCACAAGCCAGCGTGGGCAACGGCTGGGCTTGTAGTGTAGCTTTCCTCTAGCCGACGCATCCAGGCAAGGGTGGGCGTGATGGAGTTTGAATGGGCCCTGCGACGGCCTATGCGGCTTCCGGATTCACCAAGGCACGAGAGGGGACTGCCCGCTGCCTTGCGAGGAGTGGGGGTGAAACCTGAGGTGTGGTGTGTTTGGTTAGAGGGGGTTATGCGAAGGGTCCTGTCACGGCCTCTTTCCGGTATGTCGTGGTGGCATGTCGGCACACGGAAACGTGTCGTGGGGCTGTGTCTTGTGGGTACAATTGTACACCTCTGATCAGAGTAAAACTATTCGAATAGCTGTGCCCGCGGTTATGGGCGGTCAACCAGATTCACCGTGATTAGACTCACCCTAGACTAGTCTACTGGAATTGAATAGTATAGGTGGATGGTTGGGCCTGTTGCAACGTGGTATAGCGTTGGACAGTGGATGATTAATATTGATTAATTATTACAACTGTTTTACTGCTTTCAACTTCTGTTTATAAATGTCCGCTTTATGCAAATGAACCATTATAGCTACCCCTTGATAATTCCCTGCATCATACCCCTATTCCGGTATGACTTGCTGAGTACAGTGGGTAGTACTCAGTCTTGCTCTATTTTCCCCAACCCCCAGAATTTGAGTATGCATTAGATGGTGGTTTCTCCGAGGAGTAGGCTTCGTCCGTGCCGTCGAGGATGCCTGTGGAGTGGTGTTCCCGCTGCAGTCCAAGTCAAGGCTTAGCTCCAGTTATCCTTTTAAGTTTTCCGCTACATTTATGTAAGACTTTTATAATGTTTGTAAGACGTGGATCTGTATGTCAACTTTGTCGTTTGTGTACCCCGGCCGGTCCTGGACGGGAATTTTAATGCACATTCTGCTTGGAATTCTATTCGGGAATTTCTGGGCGTGACAATCACCTTACCTGGTTGTCACAACCTCATGCATCGCTATCTCATTGACCTCTGAAACTAACAAGTTAGTCACCAACTGGATAGGCTTGTCCACCACATCAACAAATAAAATCAACTATCTATCACTTGTCCTAACAAACAGTGCATGTACTACATTCATATCATCTTTAAACGGTGTTTTCTCACTGGTGCTCACGTCATAGCTAATGATCACAACATGTTGGAAGCTTCCTCATTTTGCCCTTGCTACAAGGTCCTTTTCCAAGCTCTCCAATCTGTATAGATGATAGTCCACAACCTATTCCAGACATTTACGCGGCACTTCAACATAAGTACCATCATGAAATTTAGTTGTAAACTGATCGAACTTAACACACACACTAAACTTCGCATCATTGTAAATCCAATTGCATACAAACCAGAAAAATGAGAGAAAAATATCATTAGTTCACCCGCTAACCATTTTTGTCCTAGGTTCTGCTTCTTAGCCCGTAGTGTAATAATGGAGATGATAATTAAGGGTTCTAGCCTTACCTAGAAGGGAGCTCACTTGGAATCAAGGAGCATGTCGTGTGCGCCATGCTCTCCTCTATAGCAGAGCCATCGCCCCTTTCCCCCTCTCTCCAAACCATAGGGGCCGGAGGCAGGCAGTGAAGTTGGCCGATGGCGAGGCAAGGAGGTTGGCCGGCGGTAGGTCTTTGGCCATGGAGGCTGGTGGCTGCACCAGGGCCAGGGGCAAAACAGTCCAAGGGTAAAACAATCCATAAAAAGGAGGGGAAAACAGAAAATGACAAAGGAAAAAAAAGGAGAAAGTGATATGATGTCAAGAAAATTGTAGTCCTGATGGTGTATTAAAGAAGTCATGCGGATTAGATGCATTTTAGCAAAGGCGCGCATATTAGATGGCATAATTGTCAAATTTCTCTGATTTATTAGAGCCTTCACAAATCCATGGATATATATGGGTCTATAATCACGTTGATAACAATTGATAAATCATTTTATTCTCACTTTACATAAAATTTAAAATTTTAAACCATTATAATTTAACGTGCAGACTTGAAATCTACCGTGAATTTGAGATATGGAGTTATGCTAAACAGGACAATAATACAAGTATAAAATAGACAATACACAAACAGGCCATGTACTGTACGGAGTACTACTTAAAGAACACAATCACTGCCACGCCGTTAGCTCAGCTCAAGTAGGTACGTTTGTGTAGTAGCGAACAAGAGAAGAGAATCGATCAGACGGCGCTGCAGTTGGCGGGCTGGAAGGAGAGGAGGCCATTGGCGAGGTCGTAGAGCACGCGCATGTCCTGCTGCATGAAGTTGCCGATGATGGTCGTCTCGTTCGTCGGCAGCGTCGCGTTCCCGCTCGCCGAGCTCACCACCGCCATGCACCACGTCGACGCCTCCACCCGCGCCCAGTACTTCTCCGCCGGGATCACCAGCTCCCTTCCGCCGCCGACGCCATCGTCGAACCGGAGCACCAGCGGCGGCACCGCCGCCGCGGCGAGCGAGTCCCCGTCGTCGCCCGCCTCCACGCACAGCTCCAGCGCGCCGCCCAGCTTCGCCGGCGGCGGCACGAGGCTGCCGCTGCCCCGCAGTTGACGCGCCAGCTCCTTCGTCAGCGCGCGGTGGGCGGGGTCGACGAGGCGGGTGAACGGCGAGCCGGAGTCGATCAGCGCGCCGCCGGCCCACACCTTGGGCGCCGCCTCCCGGAGGTCGAACGCGCCGGCGGGGAGGGCCACCGTGGCGTTCCCGGCCGCCAGCCCGACGAGGGGGAGGTAGTAGAATGTGCTGAAGGGGCTGTCCTTGGGGTTCTTGGCGAACGGCACGGTGGTCACCGGAGCGCCGCCGCCGCCGCCGCCGCCGGCGGCGGCGCTCAGGCCGGCCAGCTCGCCGTCGCCGACGAACAGGTGGCTTGGGCTAACGGTGTCCCTGAAGTAGGGTGTCAGGCAGTAGGAGAACTCGGTGGCGTTGAGCTGGCTGACGAGCGAGAGCGCGCCCCTGCCGAGCCCGATGATGCCGGAGGCGCCGTTGAGCGCCCCCGGCGAGATCCTCGTCTGGCTGACGCAGCCGAAGGCGAGGGTCACCGACGACGACGACGGGAACGTGAACGCGTCGGTGCCCAGAACGCCGAGCGCTACGCCGGCGCCGTAGGAGGCAGCGACCACGCACGCGTCGTCGCCGCTGCCGCCTCCGCGCGCGCACCCCGCCGTCTCCGGCGCGACGCCGCACAGGGCGCCGTCGTCGTCGTCGCACGGCACCGCCCGGGCGGTGCGCGACAGGGAGAAGTTGTAGTAGGGGAGGTTCTGAGGGAAGCATCCGCCGCCGCCGGCGGCGGCGGCGGCGGGAAGGCGGCAGGTGGAGCACTGCGTCCAGACGAGGTCGCTGCCGGTGTCGACGACGGCCTCCGCCGGCTGCGGCGGGTCGCCGATGCCGTAGCTGGCGATGTACTGCGTCTTGCCGGACCAGCGGAGGGGCGCGGCCACGCCGCCCGCCGCCGCCGCCGTGGACGCGTGCAGGAGGCGCCGGTGGTGGGTGCGCTCGGTGGCGCGGCGCACGCGCTCCTCCATGGTGCAGTGCTCGTTGGCGTCGACGTGGGCGAGCTCGAGGCGGAGGGCGGCGCCGCCGGCGAGTGCCATGGAGAAGCACAGGAGCTCGAGCAAGAGCAGAGGTGTCGCCATTTTTCGAATTTGGTGTTTTTTTTGTGAAATTGGAAAAAGAGGCAAGGGATCCTATTTAAAATAAAAATAAATCCAGGGGTTCTCTGACCAGAGTTCAAGCAAAATCCACGCGGCAGAGACAGGATACCATTGTGTGGTCGCCTCAAATAGTCAAATTACTAAAAATTCAAATTTTATTTAGCAAATTGATCAAGTCCATCTTATAATTTAATAAGAGTAAATTGCATGGCAGGTACACGAACTTTGTAAGGTGGGTGTAGCTTAGTACTCCCTCCGTTTCTAAATATTTAACACCGTTGACTTGTTAGCACATGTTTAACTGTTTGTCTTATTTAAAAACTTTTGTGAAATATGTAAAACTATATGTATACATATAAGTATATTTAACAATTAATCAAATGATAGAAAAAAAATTAATAATTACTTAATTTTTTTTGAATAAGACGAACGGTCAACATATTTTAAAAAGTCAACGGCGTCAAATATTTAGAAACGAAGGGAGTATATTAAGTTGAAAATTGCTTGTTTTATGACACAAACTTATTTGGTTTGTGCAAACCAAAACAAAAGAAACACGTTATAACAAATTTTACTAAGCTGAACTAGGATGTTATATGTAAGCTCGTATATCTATCACGATGATATTATGTACATATGCATATACTCAGTCAAGCAGTGTTTATCATACACACAAAAAAAAGTATAAAATGCAGAGGGAGCATGAAATGAATACAAAATAATGGAATAAAAATATAAAGTATATACTGTATAAAGGGCAGGGCCGGCTCTACAATTTTGAGGGCCCTAGGGAAAACTTGATAACATGACCCTTAACCCTCTCTCCCCTACAGAGAGACGTGTTATATGTATATTCACGCTTTTTGTTGTTCAGATTGATGTCATTTCAAACCATATCAAAGTTGTCAAAGATGTGCATTTATTTAGTTATTTACCAAACTTTAGTAAATACGTAAGAAATCCTACCAAAACTTGGCAATATTGCTAAATTGTCAAAATTTAGCATTACAAAAATTTGGTTAGATTTATTTTGGCTACAATCTGAACAACCCCTTTAATTTTAAAGTGTGTTTTCAAATCTAATCATAGAGAGAAATGAACATTGAAAACATTTCATATATATGTTCAAAGAAATAGAAAAATATCAACACTTAAACTGATCTTGTTTATTTTTCCCATTTACTTAGCACCATAAAAATGCATCTTGAGTAAAATTACAGCTTTTCAGCACCTAAAATTATAAAGGAAATATATATTATGAACAAGAATCTATCTATACATACAATTTTGATTATTGAATCTAGAATCTTTATTAATTCACTAATCAGAATTATGTAGATAACCAGAAGTAGTAGATAGCATGGAATTATTTAATAATATTAAATACCACTTTGGCTCATACATTACTCATTTAAGCATGGGCCCCTAGCTAGGACGAGCCCTAGGCCGTCGCCCTCTTTGCCCTGCTCAGCCGGGCCTGATAAAGGGTATTTAATACAAGTGTGCAACATATCTCATGAACTTATTGTGCGCGTGTGACATCCTATTTAGACTCTAACTCAGAGTAATTAGTCATAACATATCATTTTCGACTCTAGACAAGTTCATGCACTATAATGAATATTTATAAGTTTGAGAGCCAAATTGTATCCACCTAATAAGTTTGTGTACCATCAATACAATATAAGATTATTTGTTGATTCATTTGAAATAGAAAAAACCCTCAAAATATTTAATGTTCATATTGCTACATTTTGTTATTTAAATAATGAAAAGATGGTATCTCTGACTTTTTGCCGCATCATGTGGCCCAACATATCGTTGCATTTTGACAAGTATACCCACCTCGTAAGCTTGTGTGTCGTTAGTGTAATTTACTCTTATCATAATATACTAGCTAAATATCCGTATGTTGTAACGGGATTATGTTAAAGCCTTAAATAAACAAAATAAAATTATTCGCACTCTACAATTCTATACATATATATCGAGCTATACACTGTTGCTCGTAGTGATCAACAATTGATATGAATTATTATCCATATTGTATTTGATGGACACGGTGAGCCTACATGAGTGGTGGTGGTGGTAGAACAATCACTAGATTCATTTCTTTTTCTTCCATGTAAAATAGAGGTACGAGTAGTAGAACAACCTGTATCTCTTACCGTAGCAATCACACCACACATAGATATAGTAAACAAAAGACAATATAGGATGCTGCTATCTCTTCATTAAATCTATATCTTTTTGCATATAAAGTGTATCGTTTTGTCTTAGGTTTTGGGAGGAGGTAAACATTTTATCTCTACGTACTCCTGTGGAGTCGTGGATATAAATATTATCTTAACTCAAATTCAGGTTGGTCTAAAAAACCTATTTCCCGTGATTTATTTCATGGTAAGCGCCCTAATCAGTTTTTGGATTCAATTTTTTTTACCAATCATTTATCCGGTAAAGACCAATAATATAACCAACCGGTTATATTACCAGTTTTCGCATCGGTATTCAAACCTTGATTGTGACATTGCTAGTGGACGTATTAATCATAACTCAAAATTAATTATACCATTTCAACTGGATTAAAAGTGCAGATGTAAACATGCACATATGTTGTATGATATCAGAAGTGTTGAATTTATATGACTGGTGTACTCAATATGATGTAGACATAGTGGATTTGTTATCAACACAGCAACCTTAAATTTCTTTTTGAATACTCCCTCCATTCCAAAATATAAGGCACAACCACCCTTAACTCAAAGACCAAGAAATAATTAATATCTTATCGTTGTCATGAATCACTCCAATTAATACAATACATGCAACCAATAGAATTGAAAATCTTGTGAGTATAGGATTTAAAATAATAACGATTTAAGAGAGAGAATGTGCTAATTAATTACATGCATGTATACACGTCTTATATTATGAAACCACTTTAAAAAGTAGTTGTGTCCTATGTTTTTGGAACGGGTGGAGTAATTCATATGCTGCATGTATTTGTAGAAAAGAAAGAAAGGAGCAGCTCGAGCAACCTTCTAAGCTGCAGTCTCATCCATGTATATGGACCGAGATCTGTCGCTACGAGGCATGAGGCAGCTGAATATTTAGTGCTTGTGTTAAACTTATAATTGTTTTAAACTTATAATTGTTTTAAACTTAATTTTAGGTTAAATCGATCGATACATGCAATATTAAGTACAACTACATGCGGCTGAAGATTAACTATACTAAATGTTGGCCCTCCACGAAGCTCCGCCCATAGGTATTGGTCGAATCGATCGATCCCTTGTCCGTAGATTAATCGTACAATGTGGTTTACAAAGTAAGCCTGTTTAATTAGAGCCTAAACGTTTATCTGCAGTGCTGGGTATTGTCTGTAGTCTGTACTGTCCTGGTTGACGTGGACGTCTTCTCCAAATTAACTTGTCTATTGGCATGCACGTTGAGGGCAGGGCACAATTATTCAAGTCAAGCTATGTAAACCATGGTTTGTTCCTGTTTAATTTTCGCAATCCAAAGCCCATTCAAACTAGAGAACGGAGGATGGGGTCGTTCAGTCTGCCGCTCTGGCGGAGCCGGAAATTTTATGAGTGGGTTCGAATAACATTGGTTTATATTTAAGTGGGGGTTATTTTTATAAAGTTCAATGGATTTACATGTAAAATATAGATTCATAGGTGTATTTATAAAAACCCTGTGAGGTCAGCTGACCCCACTGCCATCCACATGACTCCGCCGGCGCTCTCCCACATACATCATCTACACCCTTCAAATATGGGTCCCCACTACGAGGGTACCTAACGGGCGCACGCCGGTTGTTTAACTCGCGCAACCACGCACGTTTAGCGCCAGACGTCCCCGCCGCTAATTATGGTCATTAGCGATAATTATCGTAATTAGCGTTATTTTTTAAAAAAATACATAAATAATTTTCAATTAGAATTAAAATTTTTGAATTTTGATATGGAAGTTTTCAATTAAAGATGAAATTTTTAAATTTTGAGTTGAAAGTTTTGAATTTCGATATGAAATTTTTATATGAAAATTTTTACTTGTGATATGAAAGTTTCTAAAATTTGAATGGGAAGTTTCAAAAAAATTTAAATTTGAGTCAAAAGTTTTCAATTTTTTGTTAAAAGTTTTCAAATTTGAGTTGAAAGCTTCGAAAAATAAAAGATTGAAAGGAAACAAGTGGACATGATCAGGGCTGACAATCGCGAAAAAAGAAAGGAATAAGTTCACTGGAGGTCCCTCAACTTAACAGCGAGATTTTTTTTAAGGAATTGTGGGCCGAAAATCATGCCAAAAAGGTAACAACTGGGCCGGTGGGCTGAAAATCATGGGAAAAAAAGGGAAAATTGCAAAAATCACCCCCATAAATCTTGAAGTTTGACATTCTAGCCCATAAGTCATTTTGTTGTAGATACCCACCCTTAGTTTTGTTGCAAAAACCACCCTAATGCGTACACGTACTTAATCAAATCAATTTGTTATCTATGATGTACGGTTATCACAGGCAAAGCTAGCTAAGTCAATATTGTCTAAGTGTTTGCCTTAGACTTATTATCCATAGTTGATTGAACTTTTTTTTTCATATAGCGAAACTTAGTGAAACAACATTTAAGCTCTCGTCTGCAATTTTATTTGTGGATTCTCACCAAAAAAAAAAGTATCAAGAATACTCTGGAAGTATTTAATTTTGGTAAAGACCACATTAACGGCTCACGCTTTATGAAAACATATTGATTTAGTTAAGCATGTGTTTATCAGGTTGGTTTTTGCAATAAAACTGAGTAGGTGAGTGGACATTTGCAACAAAATAACTTATAGGGTGGAATGTCAAACTTCAAAAACTTATGGGGCGGTTTTTGCAATTTTCCCCGAAAAAAATTTGAGAAAATAGCACATTGACGAGTGGGCTGAAAAAATGTGCATGACTTGGTGTACTGGCGTATGCACACCAGATAGGAATTTCACGCTACTATTGGTACCTATCAAATCTAGCCCAGATAAATTTGGACTTGGAAATTAGGAATAAGTCCACTTGACTCACTTAAATATGAGTCCAATCTCATTCATACCTTTCAACCGTAATACCAGATATCTTGACCCCTTAACTATTAAAATCGATCTAATTTGACTCCCTTAACAGTTTTCGCTGATGTGGCCTGTTGACTTAGTCCACCTATGCTGACGTGGCAACCCAATCACTAGATAGAAGTGGGGACCACATGTAAGTGATGAGAAAAAAAATAAAAAACTATGGGACCCACTTGTCGGCCCTCTTCTCCCCTCTCTATCTTTTCCCAACCACTCCATATATGCTCCTCTCGTTCTCTACTCCATAGCAGCGACGACAGCGAGACGACGAGGGGCCACGGCGGCGGCAGCAGAAGGCCATGTCAGTGGCTGCTTCCCGCAGCACCGAGAACACCAGCACAGGGGACACAGCTTGTCCGCACCATCGAGCTCGAGTCGTCCTCATTGTCGGCGTGATCGATCCGCATGCTCAAGATCAGGCTCCACCGTAACCGTTTGCGACCGCCCCACGACGACGATGGCCACCGTCACATGTGTCGTGGTGCCCTCGTGCTAGAAAAGGACCCTACGACAGGGTAGGCCGCGATAGCGATGTGGAGGGCACAACAGAGGAGGCTTAACCTCGGCCATCGCCTCGACCTCTTGGATCTAGAAGCCGAAGCAAGAGTAGAGAGGCACGGCGGTTGCCCCCACCTTGACTGTCTTCCGTGGTGCCGACGGTTGTTGTCCCGAATCTACAAGCCAGCGATAGAGCATAGATACTGCACTAGCGGTTGTTCGCCTTGGGCCGTGCCTCGAGGCCGCGCTATCAACGCGCCGTCGTTCCGCATCGCCGTGTACCTGTGTGGGTATAGGAGAGGATAAACGAAAAGTAGGAGATGAGGAAAGAAGAGGGAGAGTCACTGACATTTCGGACCCACATGCTAACTCAGTCCATTGGACCATGTCAATGAGCCACGCCAGTGAAAATCGTCTTAAAAACCGCTGAAAGAGTTATTTCACACTGGTTTTAATAGTTAATGGGTCAAGATATCTCGTATTGCGATTAAGGGGAATGAATCAAATTGGACCTATGTTTGAGGGAGTGAAAGTGGACTTATTCCAAATAAAAAATAGCAGCCCACATGTTAGTCACCCTTTCTCTGTTGGAACAAGTCTATGTTGCCTCCCTCACCCTTGCCCTTGGTCGAATTATATCCCTCAACCGTAAAACCGGGTACAACACCTCCCCCAACTTTGAAAACCAATGCAAATCCACTCCCATGGCAGTATTGAGCCCGATTTTAGCTAATGTGACGTCCATGTGGTATATTGACTAGGTATTTGTCCCACGTGGCACTCATAGTAAAAAAAAATAGGTGGGGCCAGGTGCTCTCCAGGCAAGTGACCAACAGGGAGAGGGGCAGGGGCCGGCAGGAGAGGAGCAAGGTTGTGGTGGCTCCTCTTTACCGAGCAATGCGGGCTACAACGTCTTGTTGCACAGAGGTGGAAGGATCTAGAGTCACACTCGGGCACTCCTACCCTTGCTCCCCAGTGAGCTCGCCAAGGTTGCTCGGCGTCTGCATCATGGTGACCTCGAGCTCAAGATCCATAGCTGTCGCCGTGTTGTCGAGCTTGGTGATGCCGCTGGCTCGGCTCCGCTCCATCTCAGTTGAGGAACACGAGCTCCCCTGCCGCTCACTGTTGAGGTTTTAGGAGGGCAACGTGGAAGGAGGAGGGCCGAGCCTAGCGATGGTCGGCCTCCTACACCAGCTCCCCGTCCTCTTACTTGATCCCCTCCCCCTCCATCTTGCGATCCCAAGTCTGCGCCAACGCGAGCTCGTCGACCACTAGGCTGTTGCAGCCACCGCATCGACCCCCGATACCGTCTCGACGACCCTCGATGCCGCCTCAACGACCTGCCACCTTTCTATCTCGACTCATCTTCTAGATGTGAGGCCGCCATTGCCCTGGGTTTGTCTAGTTGACTGACCGGATCTGCCTCCCGGCCTTGCCCCAACCTCCAGCTTCTTCTGCGTCATCGTCAACATCTGCATCCCACTGTCGGCTGCATCCCACTGTCGGCCACCGGGTCCCCTCTATCGCGCCAATTCTGACAGTGGTCCTGACTCGCACCACTTCACCGGTGTCGATCGCGCCCTCAAACCTATCTTGCCTCTAGGGTTGCCTGCGAGGAGAGAGAGGGATTTAGGATAGGAGAAAAGTAATGTAATTGACACGTGGGTCTCACCTTTTTTTACTACAAGTGTCACATAGATGCCACGTGGGATGAAGATTTAGTCAATATGCCACGTGGACGCCACATAAGCTAAAATCGAGCTCAATACTGCCTTGGAAGTAGATTTGCAGTTGAGGGATATGATTCGACGGAGAGCAAGCCATGAGGGAGGAAAAATAGACTTATTCCTTCTCACTTCTTCCTCACATGCTCTTCGGTAGGCCCACCCTAGGGTTAGCTAGCGCATGGCTAGGCTACATCAGCAAAAACAACCTTCAAAGCAGTAAAGGGGTCATTTTGAACAATTTTAATAGTTGGAGGTCGATATACATAATTTTATAGTTGAGGATATGAGTTAAATCCAACTTATATTAAAGGGAGTCAAATTTGACCTTTTTTTACCTTTTTATTTTTGCTTGACTGAAATACCATCAAGTTTTTTTATTTTTATTTTTCTTTCGGTGCGATGTAAGCGGATTTAGCTTCGGTGACATTGCTATGGCAAGTCACGGTGTGACATAGGAGCAATCTGGGGCGTTGAAAACGAATCCAACGGTCCGCTGTGCTGGCCCACCTGCAGCCTCCTTTTTCACCCCGTGCGTCTACCCTTCCTGCGAGACGACGCCCCAATCTCCCCCCACTCCCGTGTGCTCGCATCGCCGCCTTCCCGCGCCAGGCCGGAGAGGCGACAGGCCGCCGCGCCTCGCCGTTGGATTGGGACCGGGCGGCCGCCTCGCCGCTTTGCCTCCGTCGACCGCGTCAGGCCGCCGGCGTGAGCTAGCTGGGAGCTGCCGCCGCGCCAGGGCGGAGAGGCGCCAGGCCGCCGCGCCGCCGCGAGTGGGGAGGGGACAGGGCGGCCGCCTCGCCGCTTCGCCTCCCTCGACCGCGTCAGGCCGCCGCCGTGAGCTAGCTGGGAGCCGCCGCCGCGCCAGGGCGGAGAGGCGCCAGACCGCCGCGCCGCCGCGAGTGGGGAGGGGAGTTGCACGGGCTCGCGGACGACCCCGACGCCGACCCGGTCTTCAAGAACGTCGCGCTCGACATGGACATCCTCTACCGCTCCAGCGAGATGCACCAGGTAGCTAGAGCCGCTCGTTGTTATCATTAAGGAAAATATACTTCTTTTTTTTTCTGCTACTGCTCATCTCTTAGACTCTTACTGACTACTAGCATACCACTCTTGATTTCACCAGGGTGTTCCCACATACTGCCATGGTTGGTTTTGCTTATTGTGCCCACCATGCATAAATGATCGCTGTAATTTGGCATGTACAAGCTACGCAGAAGAATACTGTTGTTTCAATTTAGTATCAGATTGCTTGTGCAAATGGGTTACAGAGTTAAATAAGCTTAGGTATCTACAACTGGGGGATAATTCTGACAAATGGAGGAAGCATGTCTGCATTGTCAAAGAAAGCAGATAGCAAATATAGCAGCTTTGCTCTAGCAATGTTTGATTGATACAGTTCTAGGAAATTTCTGCAGCCTGAGAAAGCAATGAGCTGCTCTTAGGCTGATAATAAGGGAGCAATGGACTGGTAGTAACGATGCATATACCCATCCAGCTTCTGTGGAAGTGATGCATTGCATCTGCCTATTATTTTCGTAGAGTTGCATTCATCTTTTGGCCTGCTGTTGATTTTTTCCTGGTTTATGTAGGTCTGGAAATGTAACAAGATCAGTCTCAAAACCTCATGGGCGGAACTTGTTTCTGCAAAGCTTAGTTGAAGAAGGGCAGAATCCAAGCACTAGCAATGGTGCCAGCAATTCCCAGAAAAATGTTGAAGATAAGGACCTGTTAGACTGTCTAGAGAATGGCGTCAACTTTTGGATGGATGGAGGCAGCCAGCCACCGTGACCCTTGGCGATGGAGGTGGCCGGCCGTCGGGGTGCCGATGGAGGCTATGGTGTTCGCAGCTGTGTAGCTGTTTGTTCTCCAAAATTGCTGTTTAGCTGTTTAGTTGTTTGCTCTGTATCTCCAAAATTGCAGCAGCAGCAGTTTAGCTGTTTGTTCTCTACCTTAGGCTGTGCACTGTCCTGAAACAATATTTTGTTGAGGTTGCATTGTGTTAATCATTGAGAGATTGATTTGGTTGTATGACTCATGTATGCTGTAATTTGAATGAATGAATAAATCAGTAACTTCTGTGATGTTATCTTCTGAAAAAATTTGACAGCATGTCCCCATAATTGGTGGATTTATTGAGACAACACAAAAAGAGATAAACAACCATATAGAAGTTGATAAACTTGAAACTTGGAGCATTCAGACAGCACAGAAAGTATGAGGAAATGAGGATTCTGGAAATGATATACAACTAATAAGGGTTCTGTACTGCTACTAGGTATGTAAAGAATTCTGGAAATGAGGATTGCTTCTCTGTTGTTAATACAGATACATGGACAAATTTAACAAAATCATATATAGTGCCACTAGATTAAAATGGGTTATCTGCTTTCCCCATTGCAATTGGTACTCATGACTGTTGAGAAAAATATGAATCATCAGATGCAAAAGGATTGAACTGGTATTTATTTCCTACTACTACTTCTCAGTTCGCTCTACAAGTGCAGCCCACATTCTCCAACAGTAAACCACTCTTGAATCCAGTAGCAAAGGAAACACTAATTACATCTCACCAATTATACTGAACATATGCTAGCTAATCCAACAGCTAGCCCTAATCACATCTCGCCAATTATACTGAACATATGCTAGCTAATCCAACAGCTAGCACTAATCGAGCAACAGAGCCAAAGCACCCAACTGAAAGGGGAACACACAGCAAAATTGATGAAGCACAGTGGCGCGCACGCACCTCTTCCGCACCGGGAGGCGGCTGGACCTCATCGACGTCAGGCCCAGCGGACGGCCGCCTCCACACGCCTCCGGCCGGCCGCGTGTAGGCCCGGCGGACGGCCGCCTCCACGCGGCGGCACGGCAGGGCCAGGGCCCTGGCCTCACGCGGCAGCCGCGCGACCCCATCCCCACTCGCGGCGAGCTCATCGGCCTGTCACCTCTCCGGTCACGGTGGCGGCGACTCTCCTGCATTCAGCGGCGACTCTCCCCACTGGCTCGCGGCGACGTTCGGACGCGCGCAAGGAGGAATTGGGGGCGTCGTCTCCCGCCAGTACGTCTCCGCTACAGGGATGAGAACGGGGATTTTTTTTTTGTCCGCGTGCGGGCTCAACTAAAGCAGACATTGGATTCGTTTTGGACGGCTCAGATTGCTTCTATGTCACACCGTAACTTGCCATAGCAATGTCACCGAAGCTGAATCCAGCCATGTGAGCGCTCCGTATGACAAAAATGCAGTGGAACTCGATTTGCATTGGTTTTGATACTTCGGGATGCTCTATACCTGATTATTTTTCCAGTGTAGAAGTGATATCAAGCAGCAACCCAAACTTGCAGAATTTTCCTGAAGCACATGTTTGTCAAGACTCGAGAGCACTGAAAATGTTCTCAATCAACAGACTGGCATCTTTTCCGAACAAAAAAAAATGACGCGAAACTGAGCAACTGCCCTTAATAGATGGCATAACCAGTGACACAAAAGTGCAAGGCGTCTACACGAAATTTGGCTACCACATAAGGCGTCTACCGCATGCAATCCTGGCGAGTGACAGCAGAATATTCATCCCCCAAAAGCTTACCCGGTTTCAGACGTATATTGTTCTCAAGATATACGGTATTGCCATGCCTACAATAAGAACCTCAGTACGGTCTGTATCGAGATTCTGGTCTTGACCTGCTACTATTTCCACTGGGGCCATAACCATACTGCAATATGAGAAAAATTGTTAGAATGTGCCACAATTCAATTGATAAAAAGGATGATGGCAATCACGACAACAACGAAGAGAGACCAATATAAAGCCTAAGTAGTGTTACATATACAAGAAAACAACTGGCAGGAGGAAGGACATGCAAAGCTAGCTAGTTGTAAGTCTATCAGATGAACAGGCCTTTGTTCTGTAAAATGCACTTATAATCAGCCTTGATGCTGATGGCTACTTACATCATAACCAAGGCTACCAGAGAATCTGCCATAAGGCAGTAATGAGCCATAAGCTCCATATGGTCCATATGCCTCTGCAGGTTCCAAGTAACCTCCACCTGAACCACCCTCAAGTGGCTCAGCTGTGTCCACAGCAACCTGTGGGGGAAATCGTACCACATGAAAAATGAGAAAATCAATATTATAATTTTCACAGGTTAATTTTTTTAGCACACATGCACGTCTACACAGATTGTGCTGAGCCCGCCGCTATTTTGTCTCACCTCCTGTCCAAGAATTTCATGACTTCTCTGTGCAACACGATCTGCCACACCATCATCAGCAAAAGTAACAAAACCAAAACCTCCATGGCCACTTCTTTTAGGATCCTATAGTGCTTAAGAAAGTGAGATGACGAAAAACTAAGAACATAACCAATAATGGACACAGCCAAACCTTTGGAATGTACGCATCCACAATTCAACCAAATCGGCCAAAATAATCCCATAAATCATCAGTATTTGCTTCTTGTGGAAGCCTACCAACAAAAATCTTTTTGCCTGTTCCAAGCGACCCACCTAAGTGTCCTCCTAGCCAATTAAGACACGATATCCAGTCACTAACAAATTCCTTCCTCTGTCCAATATCAGACAACTTATAAGTATAACTTACTTCCATAAGCTGGTCCTGGATGATCATACGATGTTGGTGTACCCAAAGCTGCATATCTGGTAGCAGCTGTTATGTATGCATTGTATGCACCATAACCACCCTGAACAACTCTCCTTGGGGGGTGCCTAACATCTTCATCCTGTTAGTAGGAAAAAATGCATTATCATAAATGATGGAATAAGCCTTGTGGTCTTTGGTCCTTGTGGTCCTTCTCTTGCTTTTAGGTTGTTTTTCCCCTTTTAGGACAGCATCCTTTCAGTTTTGCTTTTAGCATCTTTCGGTTTTGCTTTTAGCATCCCTAGGACAGCATTAGCATCTCCTTTATGCTTTATTCAGTTTGGATGCTCTCTAGGACAGCATTGCGTTCAAATTTTAGACTAGTGTGGGCAGCAATTAGCTAGCAGCCATCCAGCCAGCTATGGCTATATATATGTATCCAACCTCCCTCGGGAAGGTATGGCTTTTGTGTTTTTGTGAATGAAGAAAACCAGAAAATTGCCCCCATCTCGAGTGCCATCCTCTTCTCAATGAGAGTAACCATTGAGATTCTAACATCTGGTATCAGAGCAACACTTTCCTGTAGGCTAAACATCTCTTGTTCCACCCCTTCCCAAGCTCGGTTGAGCTCTCAGCCAGCAGCAGCAGCAGCACCGGTTGCTCCTCCTTCCCCTTTCCCTTCCCCCTCTCCACGCAGCAGCCCCCCGCAGGTGCGCCATGTCCGACGCTCGGTCTCGGCGTTCGGTCGCCTCGAGCACTCGGCGTCAGCAGGACGCCGAGCTCGCCGCAGCAGAAGAGCGCAGGTGAGCAACAGCTTAGACCGTTGCAGCAGCAGCAAGGGCAGCCAGACTGGCGGCAGCGGAGTTGGCAGCAGCCAGGGCGGAGGCGGAGGCGGAGGCGGCGGAAGATGCGGCACGTGCGGCGGAGGTAGAGGTTGAGACCTTGCGCAGCAGCATCAACGGCTCCATCGCCGGCGACATCATCGCCGACAGGGAGCTTGAGGAGCTGGCAAGAGGAAGGGCACGGGAGCGGGCAGAGCGGTGGGCAGCAGCCCACCTCCACGGCGGCGGCGGCGGCCCAAGGGACCGCGCGCCCGCCAACGGGAACCCAGATGGGCGCGGGCGTGCCGGCGGCAGCCCGGAGCCCGCACGCGGCCCTCGCAGGCAGCGCGGCTCTTTCTCCCCTGACCGGCGCCATGGTCACCACGGCGTCTAGACGGTGGTCAGGGACTTTGGTCCCGGCGGTGGGTGGCCTACCCTCACCAAAACCAACTACATCGAGTGGGCCGCAGTGATGAGGGTGAGGCTCCAGGTGCGGCACATGTGGGAGGCAGTCCGGTACGGCGACGTCGACTACGATGAGGATCGGCGGGCACTGGATGCCCTCATCGCTGCAGTCCCGCCCGAGATGCAGTTCTCGCTTTCCCAGAAGCGGACTGCCAAGGAGGCCTGGGACGCCATCGCTGCGGCACGCATCGGCAGCGACCGCGCCCGCAAGTCCACACTGCAGGCACTCCGCAAGGAGTGGGAGAACCTGGCCTTCAAGCCAGGTGAGGATGTTGATGACTTTGCTCTCCGTCTCAACACTCTCTTGCAGAAAATAGTGCAGTACGGCGACGACACCTACGACGAGGAGAGAGCTGTCGAGAAGCTCTTCCGCTGCGTCCCTGAGAAGTACAGACAGATCGCTCGCTCGATCGAATCTCTGCTGGACCTCTCCACGATGTCGATCGAGGAGGCGTTAGGTCGCCTCAAGGTTGTCGATGGTGATGAGCCACAGCCTCTCTCGGGGTCCATCACCATCGGCGGGAAGCTCCATCTCACTCGGGAGCAGTGGGAGGCCTCTCAGGGTGACGGGAGGAAGGGGGAGTCATCTTCCCCGACAGGCGGCCGTAAGCCGCGCAAGGCGCGGGGAGGTGTCCAGCTACGGTGGGCGCGAAGACGTGTCGAGGGTGGCGCCCGCAGAGGCGCCCAGGGCGTTGCCACCGGCAACCACAAGCCGGCACGAGACGACGCCTGCCGCAACTGTGGCAAGCTTGGCCATTGGGCCAAAGACTGTCGATAGCCACGACGCGGCCAGGCCCACGTCGCACGGGTGGAGGAGGAAGAGCCGGCTCTGCTCCTAGCTCACGCAAGCATCGAGCTACCTCCAGCGGCACCGGACGCAGCGGCTTTCCTCCACCTTGATGAGCCGAAGGTACTCGTCTCCCTCTACAACGGCTCCAGCAATGACAAGGCTGATGGGTGGTACCTCGACACCGGCGCCACCCATCACATGACCGGCCGACGGGAGTTCTTCACCGAGTTCGACTCCAGCGTCCGAGGCTCCGTCAAGTTCGGGGACGCCTCCGGCGTGGAGATCAAGGGTGTTGGCACCGTCACCTTCACCGCCAAGTCCAGTGAGCACAGGCTGCTCACCGGAGTCTACTACATCCCCGCGTTGAGAAATTCTATCATCAGCGTGGGACAGCTGGATGAGAAC